ACACACACACACACACACACACACACACACACACACACACACACACCAGACTCCTCCCATTGCAACGGGCTGAGGCTCACACCAGCTGTACAGTTAAGCCAATCGGTACAGCAGCCATCTGTGGCTGGCACCCCACCCCAACTGTCATTCATCCTGATGTCATTGAAGAGGGGTCACCCCATCTCACAGGTGAGCAGCCGAGCGGAAGGGCAAGAGAGCTCAGCACAGACTTGGGTGGAGGGAAGAGTGTTAGGGACACTCCCCTCACAGATGTGGCCCCTGCCTACTGCTGTGTGTCCCTGCCTTTAGCTCACCCCTCTATTTCCAGAAAGGAAGCCCCCGATCCAACTTGGACCCTGCGACGACTTAGCCCACTCTGCTGAAGCTGGGGGATCCCTGTGTACCCCCCAACAGTGCCTGCACACTCCCTACCTTAGAGAAGACCCCCACCCTGCGAGGTGACAGATGGGGCTGGAGGAACAAAATGGCTCAGCGACTCATATACACACTACCGTCATGTGGCCCTGGGCGATTTGTGTGACCTCAGCCTCAATGTCCAGCTGTGTAGGACTGGGCTGGCACCAGGTCATGTGTGATCAGAATGACAGCAAATTAGTCCCCCGAGGCCAATGGGACCTGGTGGTTAAGCGTGTCAGACACATCAGCCCTGGTTCAAACCTAAGGTGCTTGTCACAAACACATAGCCTCGGGCGAACCACAGCTTCTCAGAGACCATACTTCTCAACGATGAGAAGAAGCATTCAAACCCTCGCCTAGCAGAGCGCCCAGGGCGTAAACAAGGGGCTTACATTACGATTGGCACTTAGTCCGGCATTGGCCCAAGACGTGCCCAGCAGAGAGCAGAAGAGGCTGAAAGCCACACACAGGTGCTTGCAATCACAGGATCACGTGGCAGGCTCAGAGCGGGCCTTGCAGCTGCGTCTGACCCAACTTTCCCTAGCCATTTGAGCCCTGGTGGGCTAGAGGGTCACACGTTGGGCAGCCAAGAGCAAGGTCAGCAGTTCAAAACCACCAGCTGCTCCGAGGGAGAAAGGCTTTCTCTGCTCCAGTACAGATGTACTGCCTTGGGAATCCAGGGGCAGTTCTCTGTCCTCTGGGGGTAGGGTGACCAGATGTCCCGCAGCATTTTTTAAAAGTCCTGATTTTTGGAAAGAATGCACGACAAGCGAGAGTATACGGTTTTCGGCTGCCATGTGGCTTATTTCGCCAGGATATGAGTTTTATCAATGGTGTGCCGCTTTACCAATGTTAAAATGTGGTCACTTTACTCGGGGTCACTGTGAGTCAGAATGGGCTCAATGACAGTGGTTGATGACAGTCTTAAGGCGGTTGCAACTGAGTGGCTGAGTGTGGCTGGGAAGGAGGCCTGGGACCCTGAACTTCCTGTGTCTAAACCTGGGCGCACCTTGTTCAAGCTGACTTCCCACTGAGGAGGGTCCTAGGTGTGCCCACAGCGGCCCCTGGTGACCAATCTCAGCACCGCCAGGGCGTCCCCATTCCATTGGCACCACGCAGGGTGTCCAGCCAGGGCCGTGGCTGGGGCCACACGGAGTGTTTCAAAGTTTTCCTGGCGGCCGAAGACCTGGGTTGTTTTCCGACAAGTCTCTGGAGCGCGCACCCCCTCAAACCTGAAGAACTCAAACCAGGGCTGGCGCGTCCTGGAGCTCCACCCCCCACGAACCCACCTCTCCAGCTGGCTCTGCGCCAGGGGGACCGGCAGCCAGGTGTAGGGAGACCTTGGACGCCCACGTGCAAGCTTTTCAGACCCCAGCTGCCGCGCACTTGGCGCCAGACCAGAGGCGCGAGGCACCTTGATTGCGCGCGTTAACTGGGTTGGGTGGTAACCTCCGCAGCTGCCCGCTCGGCCCCTGGTGCCCTCCCTTTTTGTCGATTATCACCGCCAATGGATCTCGCGCATGATTTCTGCCAACCCAGCTACTTAACGATGTCCATACAGCTTAGGACAGAATGACCTCAGCCCCGACCCCAACAACCTGATGGGGAACGGCACGCACCAGCGAACCCCGGACCTCTATGCGAATCCGCTCTAGAAGG